TTTCGGTACCGGTACTAGTTTTATTTTGTTGTATTTATCCGCGACACCTTAAAGGCCGGTCCATGAAAATATTGTCGGGCATAAACCGGTCCGTGGCGTAAAAAAGATTGGGGACCGCTGGTCTAGAGAAAGTGTGTGATTGGGTGAATGTGGCATGTTGTATAGAGTACTTTGCGTAATCCAAGAGAGTAGAAAAGCGCTATATAAGAATCAATCCATTCACTGCTAACAGAGTTTTGTCATGTTACTTTTGCACTATTATGTTCCGACACATGTTGTTATTACATGGCTTGATAAAGGTACAGATTAGGCTGACATCTGGCCCACACAGGGCCAGCAGTGTGTCTGCAAGTGGCCCGTGGCTGCACACAACTTACACATGGCGGCCCTTTGGTGGCCCAGATCAGGTTTGCCAGAGGTAATCCACACATGGGCCAGCACAGGACCACCAGTGTGTCTGCAGCTGGTCTTGTGCTGGCCCATGTGTGGGCCACATCTGGCAAACCTGATCTGGGCCACCAAAGGGCCATCATTCCTTGTGGTATGTGGGCCATGTGTAAGCACATTGTGTGGGCCAGATTGGGGACATACCAATTTTGCTATGTGGTTACCGCATAGGAACTCTATTGCCCAACGTCATGGGGATCCCACTTTTCAGCCCCACACTTAACATATTTACAGTTCATGAGACAGCTGATGACTTCTCTGTGTACAGTATATAATGATTTTTAATTTACTTTGTTGATGAGGTCTTTTTATGTGTTTATTATGCTTGCTTCCAGCTGTCAGAAGAAAGGACTTTGCCAACATGACCAGCTTGTTGCATCTAACCCTGTCCAGAAACACCATCAGCCAGATTCTTCCTTCTGCTTTTAGTGACCTGCGACGCCTGAGAGCGCTCCACCTAGACTCTAATAGATTAACTGTGATCAAGGTAACATGGGTGGCTGGATGGATGACATTGAATGAAAAAGAGAGATCCCTGATTTATTATAATCCACTCACGTCGTTATCATTTCTTACTTACACCCACTCACTGCCTTTTGTTTTTCTTTTTTGACAACCAGGATGACCATTTTAAAGGTCTGACCAACCTTCGGCATCTGATCCTGGCCAATAACCAGCTTCACTCTATATCTCCCCATGCCTTTGATGACTTTCTGTCCACACTGGAGGACCTGGACCTTAGTTACAATAACCTTGCCCAGGTGCCCTGGGACACAATTGGACGCCTAACCAATGTCAACACCCTAAATATGGATCATAACCTCATAGAAAATGTTCCCCAGGGAGTATTCACCAACCTGCACAAACTGGCAAGGTAAGGACATAGAAAAGGGCAAATGGTGTGTTTTTTGTGATGTACAAATGCAGCATTGAATTGGTATATTGTTGCCTCTCCCTATTGGTTTTATAAATACCTCCCTTCTTCTCTTGTCCATCCCTCCCCTTCTTTCTGTATGCCGTCCTGTAACAGGTTAGACATGACGTCGAACAAGCTAAAGAAAATCCCCCCAGACCCATTGTTCCTGAGAATCCCAGTTTATGCCAAGTCCAAAGGCTCCCCCCTCTCCTCTCTTGTGTTGAGTTTTGGAGGTAACCCTCTTCACTGTAACTGTGAACTTCTGTGGTTGAGGAGACTAACCAGAGAAGATGATCTGGAAACGTGTGCCTCTCCCCCAGACCTTAGTGCCAAGTATTTCTGGACTATACCGGAAGAGGTGATACTTTTTGCAATTTTTAATAATTTCATGCAGTAATTGAAAAAAATGGCAAAGTTTGGCACTAGGCTTTTTTGTTCTATAACAAAAATAATAATAATATATCACTTTGACATTGGAAGTGTGACCTTATCTTTTTTTCGTGGTAGGAGTTTATTTGTGACCCACCAGTTCTAACACGAAAGTCACCTCATACTGTGGCTATGGAAGGTCAACCTGCCAGTCTGAAGTGCAAAGCAAATGGTGACCCTGAGCCTGAAGTCCACTGGATCAGCCCTGAAGGGCGACTCATATCCAATGGATCCAGGTAATAACAACAACATATGGTCTAGTTTAATCCAGTATACTACATTTCTTCCCTGTACATTGTAAATTCATTGAAAAATTTAAGTTGTGGTATTAATCTATGGAATATGACTTGCCCACTGAGTTTGCCACTATACATCTGGCAAACACACAGGTATATGCAACAGAGTTTTTACAATATTCTGCTCTTCCAGTTTTGTATGTCAGAAAGTCAGATATTGTAGGGGGGTGTAGGCACTTGACATGTGTGGGCCAATCTGAAATGTTTCAGGACGATAGTTGTTAAGGCCATAATCTCCTCACCTATAATGTATTGCTAAAATTTTCATTGGGTAACCCACTTGGCACAGGTATGAGTGCCTAGTTATGGTTTTGCATTAAAAACATGTCTTATAAAATCACTGACAGTGTTTAGAGTGTTGTAACTCTTTTCTTTCAAAAGTCTTTTTTGATTTAGCAGTTGTAATTTGCATTACTCAAATTACAAAGGAAAATACATAAGTAGCATTTTTCTTGTCAAGTGCCACCTTTGATTATGCCAAAGCACACAGTTAGAAACATTAGCATAACAGTCATTCGAAATATTGTCGACGTACCGTAGATATTGGTGGAATTTATTGTCAATATCAGATACTTCTTATAATAATATCCCGTTTATCTAATAAGAATCCAGCAGACAGCTTACTTTTCGTAACATTCACATTTGACTTCATGTATCGATCAATTGATTGCTATCTTAATGATATTTCACTTTCTATTTCACTTTTGTTTCAGAACATTAGTCTTCCCTAATGGAAGCCTAGAGATCAATGTAACATCCCTAAAGGATTCAGGAAACTTCACCTGCATTGCCTCAAACACGGCAGGTGAATCCACGGGAAGGGTGGAGCTAGTCGTCACAGCAATGCCCCATCTGGCAAACAGCACAAGCCGCAGTCGAGATCCTTCTTCTGAACCGGCCCCTTCTGACATCCTGACCTCCTCCAAGGTTGCACTTCCCAACAACGAAACAAGAGGAGCAGACAGGAGGGTTTCATTGGTGGAGCTGACAGGAAACTCTGCCCTCATTAGATGGAGCAGTCAAACCCCTACATCTGGAGTCAGGATGTTCCAAGTCCAGTACAACAGCTCTGGGGACGACACACTCGTTTACAGGTTTGTCTGTCTGCACTGTCAATTCATTATTTGCCTTGTGTCTTTTAATTTTCTGTCTGATGTTTCTATGGTGTCATAATAGTAAAAGGCATTTATGAGTTTGTAAGTGTGTGTATGGGTTTCTGTGCGTGGTTCTGTGTGTATCTGCAGCTTTGTGTAAGTTAATCAAGAGACATCAGCAAATGCAATGAGGATGAGGGCAGATGATAATGATAGTGTCATCCAGTCGTAAAAGTCTAATCAGGCGAAATGATAAAGACATCTGTGGTGGAACAGAGCCATTGTTGGGTACGGTGAATACGGGGGAATAAGGGCCAAATGTCACAAATGTCTGTTGAACAAGTTACAACGGTTGTCATTTAGTTTGCTTTATTGCTGTCCTGATGAGTTTGCTGTATGCTTTCTTTGTCAGCATTTACATTATAAATTTATGAATGAGTTAGTACTAAATGTTTTGTGGCTTTGTTTGAGGAGGACGGCAATGTCAGCACTATGTCAGATGTGACTCTAATTTGATCTGAGTGTCAAATATAGTTAACGTGTTAATGTGGGAAAGGGAAGAACATTACGTTAAGAAATGACTGAATCAAGAAGATACATGCTCTGATAGTTTATTTAGAACAAACTGTCATGTCAATAGAAATTTTAGAAGAATCAAAGATTCTTTCAAAGATGGATGGATGGAGTTGATTTTGTGGTCAAACATATTAATCACACAACAGTAACGCCATGTTAGACTCTTATGAGACCTCAAAATTAAATGAGTAAATCATGATTATGTTCATTCTTATGACAGTAGGGCTTTTAAGTGGGATTTGGTCAAATTCTAGTCTTCTGAGATCTTGGAAGACAAAAATTACTCACCTCAAAAAAACTCCCAGAATTGATTTTTACTGTGACAGGCTATGTGACCTATGTTGTTGCTGCAACTCTGAGGTTTAGTGCTCTTTGTGCATTTATCCAATTGCATTCTACAATATGAGCAGATGGTGGCTGGACTTTAATACTGTTATGGCTGCTTTCCAACCCCTAAACATAGTATATAATTAGAATTAGACAAGTGATACTAAAGACCATCATCAGCTTAAATTCAGACAGATGACCTAACCACATGACTTGCGGAACAGCGACCATAGACACCAGAAGCGGCCTCACATAGATGTAGACCTTTCCAGATACGTGTCTTTTTGACACATTTACATCACCAGTGTGACTCAATAAATTGCAAAATACATTTTTTAAGGAATAAAATGCAAACAAAAAAAAAGACTGATGTAGCAAATTTGATACAATTGAAAACTCATACATGCAATGCTATCTTAAATTTGTTTTACTATTTTTTTATTTCATTGGGAGGTTCACTAAACACCCCATTTTCAAAACTTTTGAGCTTTCTGATAATTATTTCATGGTACAGGCTTTAAAGGGTTAAGGAAGCCAGGGAAAATCTCATCCAGGGGCCTGGTCACAGGGGAGTTTTTCTTTTAAACACCTCAGGCACAGTGATTGGCCAGACATTACTTTCTGTACTAAGTGCATGTTAGTGAGGTTCAGGAGGCCTTTGAAGTATTTATTCCACCACCTGACAGCATCCTCAGTTGAGGTCAGCAGAACTCAGATTTGCATGTGGTTTGGCTACAAGTGCTTAGTTTAAAACCTAGATGGATTCTCTTTGGAACAACTTTCTTTCTCTTTCTCTCTAACCCTCTCTGTCTCTCACCCTCTTAATTCTTTTGGTTCTTTGGCATAAAAGACAAAAATTAAGACAGACTTGGGAACAATAAAACCTTGACCTTAATAAATAATCCCTGCTGATTCGAATAAGCATATGAAGACATTCGCCACTTTGAATTAGATACATATAAACTGACAATTTGCTTACATTAAACATCTGATTTGCATCATTCAAGGAGCAGATCTTCTCATTTCTTAAAAAATTGCTCCTTGATAAATACTTGCAATTTTGTAAACCATATTGTAAAGTGCTGCCTATGCATTTAATGCCATGTTGAAAAAAATATCAGCGGGATGAAAAAAAGTTGGTGTATAAACCACACCATCATTTTTTTTGACAGTTTAAAGCCTTGAGTTTATATAGGGATGCATTGCTGTTGGTGGTTCATATTCTGCTTGTGAGTTTTATTGATAAGGGGTTTCTTTGATGCCTTTAATACAGGATGTTTCTTTGGAATTCAGTGAGGGAGATTTCTCTCCCTCTACTGCTTCATCGGCATTCAAGGAAAACGTATAGTTACCTACTACGAATCACTTCCAGGGGATCCAGTTAAATTTGTTTCTAAGTTGTTCTTTTTAAAGTGCTCTTAGAATCTCTCACATTCGCTCTTGCTGTGTTTTTACATATAAGGAGTTGTCGTGGCAACAGGTCTGGAAAATCTGCCAGATGTTAGATGCAATGTTGTGAGTGACAGGTGGCTTTAATAATATCTGATATGCGTATTTTGGACTATTTATTTATTATGTGAGCCACAAATTGAATGGTAAAATATTTCACTCTGTCTTCTGTGGTTGAAGAAGTAAATCAACAATGTTTTTACTGCTCTACAAAATTATCTAAAATCCAATTTAGCCTTTTTAGTCTTGATCAACAGTTATAATTCTGTCTCAGGGGAAATAAGTCTTGAAAGAACCTTTGACAGAATTGAATCCATTCGTGCTGACAGGAGAAAGAAAGTTCCTCTTCATTTGTGAAATTGCAACACTTGTGAGATGGAAATGGGGTTTTCAGAAATGTCCTTGTGATGTTGTTGTTTTTTAAGACTGGTCAGGGCGGGCACGCTCCGTTTTGCGTAAGTATTTCTAAATTCCTGTAGAACTGCAGCCACATAAGCTAGCGCAATAATTTTTTTTGCATATGAAACCGGAGGAGTTGTACTTACATCTTATGCCATCAGTTTGTCCTAGGTCATGGTTAAACATAGCTAAACGGTCAAAAATGAAAATAAGAAGACGCTCAAAATATATTTCCTGTGGTTGGAAACTATTTTGCACAACTTTTTTGTATTTACAGTTTTGAGGGTTAAACCTCTTAAATTACTCTAGCAAGAAGTATTTGTTAAAAAAAAAAAAAGATTTAAAATTTTTTTGCAGTTTATGTAGTTACTGTGGACTTAATATGCATTAAAATTTAGGCTATTGTGGTTGTATTGATGTATAACAACTTGAAATACTCCCGAAAATGGCACTGCAGCATGTAAAAATATGACGATAAGCTCTGGCGGACTTGGTTCTATGTTAGGTCCTAAAGCAAGATAAGATGCGTGGTTATGGAAAATATTTTGCTTCAACTATCTATTTAACTATCTATTAGTTATATATATATTTAACATATGAGGAGCATAGTAATAATCTACATTGAGGTATAAACATCATACCAAAATATTTCCTTGTTTCTTTAGAAAAAACAGTTACTTTGTAATTTTATAATGTATTTTTAAAATATATCCTATTGCAGCTAATTCCAATGTGTTAGTACGTATTCATGAGTAAGTATTAATCTTTACATACAATAATTCATTCATTAAAAATCATCATATGTCTTTATGCTATATAACATTATTGTTATACTGCTTTATTAAGTAAACACGTTCAACTGTTTGTTTAAATATCAGTTAATCACAAGGTAATGACTGCATAGACTGTGTTTAAACATGTAGACATGGTCAAGATGACCTGCTGAAGTTCAAACTAAGCATCAGAATGAGGAAGAAAAGTGATTTAAGTGACTTTGAATGTGGCATGATAGTTGTTGGTGTCAGAAAGGCAGGTCCGAGTGTTTCAGAAACTGCTGATCTACTGGGATTTTCCACTACCATCTCTAGGATTTACAGAGAATGGTTAGAAAAAGAGAAAATATCCAGTAAGCAGCAGGTCTCTGGTCAGAGTAAAAGGGCAGACTTTGAGCTTTTCTTGTTAGGCACAATGAACAGCGGAAGATTGGAAATATGTTGTCTGTTCTGACTAGTCTCAAATTCACATGTGACATTTGAATGGTAGGGTCAACATTTGGCATAAACAACATGAAGCATAGATTCATCCTGCGCTGTACCAATAGGTCAGACAGTGGAATAATAGTGGGGGATATGCACACTTTGGGCCACTTATTACCACGCATCATTTAAACACCACAGCCTGAGTATTGTTGATGACCATGTTCTTCCCTTTATGACCACAGTGTATCCCGCTGCTGGGTAACATATAATGGCACAAAGCTTAGATCATCTCAAACTTAGTTCCCTGTACTAAAAAAGCTTCCACAATTACCACATCTAAATCCCATAGCGCTCCCTCAGAATGGCAGGAGATTCACAGATGAATTTGCAACAACTGTATGATGCTGTCATGTCAACATGGACCAAAGGCTTGTTGAATCTTTGGGACAAAGAACTAAGATGGTTTTGAAGAAAAAATGGGGTCCAACCCAGTATTAGCAAGATGCAACTAATGAAGTAGTCGGTGAGTGTATGCCTAAAATTATACCCATTGCAGTAGTTTTGTTTTTTTCCTGTTTTGCTTGTTAAAAGAAACTTTATTTTAACCCCGAGTAGACTGCACCGCTCGCTCTGTGGTAGCTGGGATAGCCTCCAGCCACCACGCAACCCTGATAAGGATAATCAAAAGTGAATAGATGTAGTGATGGAAAATCTTTTATAAGATCATGACTAAAAATCAAAGTCTGATGTTACCATATGGCATTGTGAAATTAACATCCATTAGAATGCATCAACGCTGCACTAGTTTAGCTTTGAGCTGAAGGAAAAAAAAAGGAACAACCCACTGTCCATACTGTATGTGAACAGCTTCTCTCTGTCTTTCTATGGTCGATATCCATTAGGAGGGATAAGGCACAATGCCACGAAGAGAGAGGAGGTAAGGCAGCAGTCTGGAGGAGATGATACAAAGTGCTGAGGATCATCAAGAACACAGAATATTTGAAAAGAGAAAAAAAATGTGTTCTACAAAATAGAAACCATAGCTAAGCA